TCTACTAAGTTGCATTAGTAAAATAATAGAAAAGGTCATTTATATCAGACTGTCCAACTTTTTAATTTCCAATAATATTATTCCCTATCACCAATATGGATTTAAAAATAATCACTCAACCATTCATCCCATATCCATCCTAATTCAGCAGTCAATTCTAAAATTTAATAGAAGAAGAAACACTGGGATGATCCTATTGGATATTGAGAAAGCCTTTGATACTGTTTGGTTGGACGGCCTCATTTACAAAATGATTAAATGGAACTTTCCTGTAGGACTTATAAAATTAACTAAAAGCTACTTGGAAAACAGATTTTTTCAAGTACACTTAAAAGATCAAATTTCTGCAACAAAATCCATTTCATCAGGAGTACCTCAAGGAAGTATTCTTGGACCAGTGCTATTTTCTATCTTTATATCAGATTTACCTACAGCTCCAAGTACCAATTTACTAACATTCGCAGACGACACTGTTATATACACATCCGCTAAGTCCGACAGAACTATCATAATCAGACTACAAGAACACCTGAATGCAATAATGGATTACGCTAATAGATGGAAAATTCGACTAAATATTCCCAAATCAGAAGCAATCTTATTCACTAAAAGAAGAAAATCACCTGTTCCTCAATCCTACATACACATAAACGGCAATAATATATTATGGAGAGACAATGTTAAGTATTTGGGCTTAGTAATGGATAGAAAACTCAATTTCAACGACCATATCAAATGCAAAATTAATCATGCTAATAGATTATTATATTTATTGTACCCCCTACTAAAATTTAGCAGCAATATTGATCTAAAGATTAAGAGAAGGCTTTATCTTGCAATGGTACGATCAACTTTAACCTATGGAGCCCCTGCGAGGTGTATGACCAATAAACAAAACATAAATAAATTACAAATTATACAAAATAAAGCATTGAGAATGATACTCGGAATAAAGAGGAACCCTATCAGTCATCATTATGTATCCAATCGCTATCTACACAACCGACTGAATATACCATTTATATATGAAATTATAAAAAAGCAAGCAAGGAAATTTTTTGAAAAATGCAAACTTAGTAATAACCCAACAATTACAGATATTGGATCTGTAACTCAAGATATGTTTTGGTACAACAATTACAACCTACCGACAGTCATTCTAAAATAAATAACACTATAAGACACCTTCAAAAATCAACAGTGTAATATGGTTTTTTGTGATTTTTTTTTTCATTATTTATTTAATTTATTTAATTTATACAATCAATAATCTTTCAAATAATATATATCAAAGAATTGTATTAGTATCAGATGATAGGTATACAAAATCTTATATACTCACTTTTTCTTTTATGTAATATAATATGGAACAAATAAATCTTTTCAAACAAACAAACAAACAAACTGCTTATAATTCATTTCAAAACAATGCTCTGATTCATAGTTTGTAGAACGTGTTCAAATATAGATTTATATATTTACTCAAGTGAATACATATATAATAAATGAAGTAGTCAACACGACGCTGACACATTTTCCATTGCACGTAATACAGTCATATTTACTGCAAGTAAATACAGTTGTGTACTGTTATTTTGCAAATAAATATGCGATAATATATGTATTTATGCAGAAGATGCAATGAGAAATTTATTCCCTCGCGTTAGCTTTATTAACATCAGTTTAAACCAAAAAATGAAAAAGAGAGGCTAATGAAAACTGCTGAAAGGTTTCCAGGCATACATCTAATTATTATAACAACAAAGTTAGGTGTTGTTGGAATGACTAGTTAAAGTAACAGATATTTCCAGATCATATTCAATGTGCTCTATGCTCATATTTAACTCCTCGTTAAAATTCAAAAATGAAAATTTCTATATATCTTTACCTTTCACAAGTTTCTGAACATTTTGACATGCCTTAGAAAAAAATTTATGTATTGGTGTGTGTGTGCGGCACAAATTTTCGTCGACGATTAACTGATTTGAATGATTGAAAAAACAATCGATTTATTGATGGAGAGACGTGCTGATTAGTTTATGGCAAAGGCAGGTCCAATCGTTTTGAGGATACGGGACAAAAAGTGCCAAAAACAGCCATTCAGTTTTTGAAAGAACGAAGCGAGCAATTTGAATGATTCAAGAAACATTTTATTTGTATTGACAAAATGCGGAACGGATTAAACTTTTGGAAAAATAATAAAAAAAATGTCCTTGGACACATGCACATTCAATTATCAGATATTTCATAGAGATTTTAATAATAAGTACAAATTTCATTTCCGTACCAATTTTGATCAGCAACGTTGCTGAAACTTCTCGTAGCAAATTTTTTTTTTTAAGAATAACATTTTTGAAAGAAATTTTCTTTAAAAAAATTATATTTTATATAATTATATTATAAATATATTTAACTATAAATTTTTGAAAAAAACTTATTTATTTGAAAAAAAGACTTTGAAAAAAATGTTTTTTTTCATCTTAAAATATTTTGTTCTGAACTTTTTTTGAAGCAATGGTACTGCTTTCGCTGCTTAGAGACAAAATATCGAAGCGCGTAAGCGCCGCATCGCCGTCTAACGGATAAGCATTGGTACGGAACCCATAGGAATGTAAATAAAATTATCTGATAAGTTTATGTGCATATGTCTAATGATCATTTTTGACCGCCAAATGGCATTTTTTTTACTTGTTTCACTAGATCTCCGAAACCTCTAGACCTGCCTTTATGACAATTTAATCAGTTGTTTATTTTGTCAATACAAGTAAAATGATTTTTGAATTATTAAAATCCGACACTCCGTTCTCTTAAAAACTGAGTTACCGTTTGTGGCACTTTTTGCTCGGTATCTGCGAAACGGCTAAACCTGTCTATGCCAAAAAACGAATCAGCACGTCTCCTTATCAACTGCAATCGAATAATGTTTGAATGATTGAAATCGGTTGAACCGTGTTCCCGAAATCGTCGACGAAAATTTGTATCCGCACGCACGCACACACACACGCATACACACATACATTCATTTTTTCTACAGTATGCTAAAATGTTCAGAAATCTCTGAAACGCAAAGATATATAAAAAATTTCATTTTCCATTTTTTTGCGGAAGGAAGCTCCAAGAAGTTAAAAAATTAAACATTTTCTCAAAATTTTAATTTTTGGTACAGAAAGTTCCAGCAATTTGATCTAAGGCACGATGCCATGCCCCGCTAGTTCTATTATAGTATAATATTACATATTTTCCATGCATTGTTTTATTCACATTACCATGTCGCGTTGTTACATGTAATTAAACGTCAATTCATATTATTGATTGAAAGAAACCTTTATGACACGAGCCGATTTGAGTTTTGTTTCCAAGTATTTATAAAACAAAAGCTACTCAATTCGAATAACCAGGAATTGAAATTCGATTACACGATGAAGGTTATTAGCATGCTTTGAAATAAGATATCAAGTAAAATCAGATTGTTTTTGGCGCCTGAGCGAAAAATTTCGCAATTTTTTTAGAAGTTTTCAGGCTGAGATATTTTTTGAAGTGAAGCTTCTTTAGGCGCGACATGGGTTTAAATCCATACAAATGCAACGAAAGACCGTTACGCCCAAACTGTTCGTCATTGTGGGTCGATTGTGATTAGTCGTCGTGTATGTGAATAGCGATCTGTCGTTGTATGCGTACAGGCATCAACGTTGTATGCGTACCGATATCAACAAGTAAATCGGCATAGATAAATATTTTAAAGTTACATCGTAGTACAAATCTTAATTTAATGAAAAATGCCTGAATCAGAAAAATATTTTACCCTGTTCCTTGATAATAATAAAACAAATTATAATAAAAAAAAATTAAACAACTAAACGTAAGTTTATTGAATACAAATTATTTCTATAATATTCGAAGTTTCTCTTAAAATGGAAAATATTTTTTAGGCAAAACAGATATTACAGCTGTTCAAAGAATGAGATTATATCGCCATCGCAAAAAAGTAAAAAAAATACAAGCAGCCAAAGAATGTATGTTAATTTTAATTACATGAAGTTCTTCAAACACAATTACATGATGAGTGAAGTTGCGAAAACAATATCTGTTTAGGCGTTGTTTAACATAATCCACTGTGTGAACGAATATTATAGAATTTATTATTCAGCAATTACTTCATTTCTCTAATGAAAGTTAATTTCTTAAATTATAATGACAAACCGATCATGTCATATTTGAACTATGACTTTAAATACATCATTGTTTTTATATATTATACATATTTTTAAGTTAATAAAAATATGTATTAATAAGAAATATATAATTTATAATTTATCATTATATAAATGTGTATAATGGTTGACACTAATAAATGTGTGCATCACGAGTATAACCATATTACTAATAAATATGATTCAAAATTGTTATATGATCTATTTATTTTTCCTTGAATACCATCTTGCACAGTAGCAAATAAGTTTTACTTCAATCGCCTGTGAATCTTATATATAACGCAGACATCTGTATAGGCTTCAAAAAGTATTAATTTTGATTTTGAAAACTATTGTTAAGTCTGTGTGGCATTATTTATGCATATATGTACATATATTATTAAAAATCATTAATAAATTCTAAAATTTGTAGATGATCTCTTTCCTAAGTACATTGTTGAATTTTGCTAATTCATAAAATAATATTACTAAATATTAACTCACGTGATCATTTGCTTCAAAGTTTATGTGCTGACGCCTTCGTCCAATATCATCCCGACTTGGTTGTTCAAAGTTCGAAATATCAACATCTGCAAATCCTGGTTCCACATAAGAATACGATGATGTAGGCGGAACTTTATAAACTATTTTGGAATAAAAAGAAAGGAATATTATTCATCTATTCGTAAACAAACACAGTAAATATTATTTCAGGCTTATATCAAACTTATACATTAAAGTATTCAAATTTAAATTATTTGGTTGGTAATTCTAACATCGTTTGATTACAAAATGAACTGAAATTAAAAACATTTTTTTATCTGTTTAAAACACTAATTAACCTACAGTCAAGTATCAATTTAGGCTATGAAAGACAATAAAAATATTTTTTTTGTCAAACGAGCTCATATAAATTTTGTGATGTATTATTCTCAACACCACTTTCAATCTAACATCAACTGCTTCCTGAAATATCTCCAAATTACTACATACTAAAGATGGGCCTATAATATCCGAAGCCAGATCGGTTAGGATTTGACTCCGCTTCAGAGAGGAGTTATATCCACTTAACAACTCCACAACTCCGACAACTTTGAAACATAATACTCGGCCCAAATGTGTTCTCTAGTGTGTTGTTCTAGGGATTTATAAAGACTTTGGAAATAGTTCAAACATTTTTGTTCATTTTATTATAATAATTACTATTTTATGCATTTCAATATGCATACAACTCTCAAATTGACAAAAAACTTGAGAATTAAAATCAATTTTGTAATTATTTTTGAAGAGAAGAATTCTTTGAATGTGTTTATTTTTATATGAAAATAATGCAGTGAACCTTATATATGAAATAAGAACAAATCTTTGTGTATAATATTTTTCACAAAATATTAATACCACACATTCTTTTATTATTTCTTTTTCAAGAATTAATTATACATCAGGTAGTTTGATAAGCATACTATTACTTTTACACAATTATAAAATCATAATTGTGTAAAAGTTATAATACGATACTAAATATTTTTTAGCTGGTTATTTACCATTGAAAGAGCTCATTTACGAACAAACATTATCGTATACAGAATATAGAATACAAAATAGCATTATTTTGAGACATTATATACCTGGAAAGTCTTAACAATGGCTGTGAGACGAGAAAAAGACCACTTTTTTCGACCCAAATCTTTGCATTAGTAAAAAATCTGAAGCAAATATCTACATATGTTAACAGATTTAGTATCAATTTAGGGAAGTCGGATATGACAAATCCTGTGAGACAACTCCACTCGGATTCTCTCTGAGGTAGGAGTTGTATCGGAGTGATAACTCCGGAGTAAGTTACCATCTCTACTACATACCTTTTGATTTATACTTGACTGTTAGTTAATTATGACACATAAATGTCACATCAATAATGAATAAATTCTTTTGGCAAATGCAATGTGACTTAATCCAATAAGTAGAGCATGCTACGAATTCTATTTTTAATCTAAATATAGAGACGGATAGCCCTCTTAGCAGTCCGCCAATAAGTAGAGTAAGCATTACGCAACTATAATCTAATTATTAAATGAACAACATAGTCTACGACGTCGAGACATGGCAATTAGTGCCATCGAATAGAATTAGATTGGATATTACAAATAAAAGCGTCTGTTAAAATATTCAAATTACGAAAAATCTTTAAAACAGGAAAAGTAGTATCACTGCAAATGTTGTTGTATGAATCAAAACACAAAAACATATTAAAAATCATGAAAAAGCGCGACATTATACACATAAGGGAGTGGTAATACATAAAGAATGTTTTTTTAACACGGCGAACGTTTAAATTTGTTTAAATCTACGCAGTTTCCATAGAAACTAACCCCGTATTCGTATTTGTTGATGACAGATGTTTAAATGCAGATTTTGTGAATGTTATTATCTATTAACACTTTCCACTCGGGAGTCTGGCTGCTCGACGGTGCGCTGCGCTCGGTATATTATTGCTATACATATCTCTCAACTCGGATTTTTTTTTGTATCGGATTTTTTCAAAATGTGGTAATATTGCTATATATATATAGGTGTGTGTGTATGTATGCACAATATGCATATGTGGCGGCATCCGAGTGGCCTTGTCATAACATTTTTCTGTTATGCGGTCCCTTAATCACTTAGATTTAATCACTGACTAGATTCACTTATTAATAATTATAGTAAAAAAAACAAATCAAATATCTAATAAAGTCGTACCTATTTGAGAAATGTGAATTAGTATTTTATTTTTTTGTTTTGTTCGTGTTTATTAGTATTTTTATTCGTAGTTACTATATATTTTTAAAGTGATAACAATCAAAATATTTTTATAAGCAAATCAGATTTCACTGTAGTAATAATTGCTACAGATATATTATAGGTTGCCATTCAACTAATCAAGAAGAATATGTACGTCAGCAATGCCATAAAAAATCAGTTATTGATACACAAGAATTATTACAATAACTAATGTTGACGTAAGTTTACGCTTGTTTTGAAAAGTAACATATGCAGAATGTAATATTAACGATGAATAAAAATAAAACCATATTTAATATAAAAATACGAAAAAGAATGGATTTGTTCTTTAGAATCTGTTCGAATACACTTACAATACTCAAATCTGAAGATGATATCTTTGACGAGATAGCATATGAATACAATAAAACTCATAATCAACCGCTTTTATATTATCTTAAGTTACCAGTGTTAATGAATTGTTTATTATTTGTAAAAACAAAGACAAAAAATGGAATAAAAATAATGGTTCAAACGACTTTCAACCCACAAGACATTCAACAGCATGAAATGTTACAAAATTCATTCATCGGCAATTACTTAACTTCTCTAATGAAGATTCAAGTCTTTTAAATTCCAATTGCAATAAGATAAAATCCTTTCTTGCTGGAGATTTCAATGTCAAGTTTCATCCGGAAGAATCTCGAACATTAATTGATTTTTTAGACGATAAACCAAATTTTATAAAGAATAATTCTGCGAGATATGACACCAGTATTGATGCAATTTTTTCAAAAAATAGACAATTTGCTGACTGAATTTATGTCTTTTGCTTCAGTTATCGCAAACCAATCATATTACAATAGGTTGGGGAAAAAGAAATCAATTTTTTCGCTAGATGGCTGTTCAATAGATTTCTACTAAAGTATCATTCAAACTCAACATAAATCAGATTTATGCTCGTTACAAAGGTGACATTTCGCAGTAAAAAAATCTTTTTCTGTTTCTTGTTTAGTGAATTCAGTTGTGAGTCACAGGGTGTTCAAATGGAAGTGAACAAAGAGAAAATTCGGTACATTTTACAGTTTTTCTTTGACGAAGGCGAAAATGCAAGCCAGGCGGCTAAAATTATGGATGATGTTCATGGTTCCTATACTGAAACCGCCAATTATGTGCAATTTTGGTTTCGTAGATTTCGTGCAGTAATTTTTGGTGTTAGAGATGTACCTCACACAGATAAACCAGTCGTCGAAAATGTGGGTAAAATCAGAGAAATGATCGAAGTTGATCCAAAAGTCTATTTTTTTTATTCGGAAGAGCTCGCAATCTTTGTGTAAAAAATCAAATATGAATTCAAAAATCAATTTTATTCATAAAAAATAGTCAGACAAAATTTTAGACCATTCTGGTATGTTTTTGCATTTTTTCTTTCTTAGTCATCATTTTAAGATGCAGAACGATTTAGTGCGTCGAAAGCATTAAAATAATATTAAACTATATCCCAGATAAAATTTGTTATTAAATATTACTATTGTAGATAAGGTTCTGCAATTACAGAGCATTGTAATGCAATTTTCTTAAATTTTTGTTTACTTCCCAGAACGTTGCCATTGACTCATATCGTATATCTGAGATTCATAATGAACGCGTTGCGAAATAAAATACTGTATACAAGGTCATAACTAAAACTAGTTGGTTTGGTATTTAGCCTTGAGGCAAGTTACATGAACTTCCCGATATGTGTAATTAATCGACTTAATCAATAAAAAATAAATTAATTTATGAGTGATTATAAGTATTCCGAGTGGATTTATTACACATCATTGCAAACGAACGATCGAACACATTAACTCGGAGTATTTTCTAAAAGCCAATTTTCAAAAATCAATAATTTTTATAATTGAACCAGTTTCCGTAGGACTTTAATGGTTTACTATTTTCAAGACCAAGTACACTATCGTTATACCAACTAAATCATCTAATTTTATTTTTAACAAACGTCAAAAAAACTACTTATTTTCTCAAACTTTGATGAATTTTTAAAATTAAACTACTTGTCGTAAAGCCGAAATATTTCAGTATGTTCTATAAGACCATGATATATCGCCAAAAAAGTTCCATGAAAATCGGCTTAAATTTTTTTTGAACAGTTGATTACAAGAAAACGGCTCGGTAGATTTTCACCTAAAACTAATCAGTATCATTCTCAACTAATATCTTTCGAACAGTTTTTGATTTTTCAAAATCGGTTCGGTAGTATGAGCTTAAATGTGGACGAAAGGTTTTACACTTTTTTTCCAAATTACAAAGAAACGGCTCGGCCGATCGTCGCACAAAACTGAGAAACGATAATTCTCATCGAGATACATCAAATGCTTTTTAAATATCTGAAATCGGTTCAGGCGTTTTTGAGCAAACGTCGATGAAAGTTCTAATTTTGACAAATGTCAAAAAGACCATTCTAATTTTTGCAAACTTTGATGAATTTTTAAAGCTAAACCAGTTGTCGTAGGGCCGTAATATTTTAGTATGATCTAGAAAACTATGGTATTTACCGTCAAAAAAATAATCATAAAAATCGTCGAATTTTTTATCTTAAAAACTTTATTACAAGAAAACGGCCCGGCCAATCTCTACCAAAAACTAATCAGCACGATTCCCAACCAATATCTTTCGAACGGTTTTTGAATTTTCAAAATCGATTCAGAATTGCGGGCTAAAACGTAGACAAAAATTTTTCACTTTTCTGACAAACAATAGTCCTCATCGAAATACATCGAATAGCTTTTAAATTTTTGAAATCGGCCCAGCCGTTTTCGAGAAAACGTCGATTTACGGCAAAAAATCTGTTCACATACACACACACACACTTTTTCCAAATTTAATCTCATTCGATTCAGAATGGCTTGAAACGTCGAGAAAACATAAAATAAGGATTTTTTTACGAAAACATAAACTTCTCCTTCGGGAAGTTAATAAAATATATTTTTTATGAAACTTAAATTGTTAAACAAATGTTGTTTTATCTTTTAATTTATTTCTACATTTATTTGTATTTTCGTTATTATGATGGTGACTTACAAAAGACCATGCTACAATTTGTGAAGTACAAAAAATGTTTGAAAATAATAATATATTAAAATCGTACTTTTCATAGATCGCAAAATATAATTTTGTATCAATATATACATTTTAATTCTACTTTCATGCTATTGCAGATTTTATTATTAGTCAGTTATAAACAATGCAGGAACTAATTTCGCATTCGTTTCCGATATGGTTTGAGTCGACTTGACAACTAAATTGCATATGATATTGTAATATGCAAAGGTTTAGCATTACTAACAATGTGTAATTGTTTTTGTCATTGTTCTATTATCGTTTTTATTGTCCATACATATTTATTTATAATAAAATAAGATACTCAAGATATATAGAAAAATGTACAGAATATCAATTACTGGAAATGGAATTAGCTACAAAAGTATTACTATGTTAAATATATGTTGAATATGATAATTACTATGTGATATATTATGTATTTAGTTAATGCAAGTAATATAAATGTATTTTTGAAATAAAACTTTTGAAGTAAATCTTCTTTAGGCGCCACTACGGTGTAAATCTGTACAAATGCAAGGGATAAGTCGAATGCCAATGATTCGCTCTCGATGATATCATTTCTATACGGGTCGATTGTGATTGGTCGTCGTTTCGCTTGAGTATAATTTCTTTGATTGTATAGTGAAAGTAATAAATCAAATGAAAAATCTTACGTGTAAGAAATGTAAGTTGATTGCAGTATTTTGTATTCTTCGTGGTTACTATATATTTTTGAGCCTTTTGTTATTAAAATGAAAATTATTTTTATGGGCAAGACAGATATTACAGCTGCTCAAATAATGAGACTGTATCGCGAGCGAAATAGTAAAAAAAAATAAGCAGTCAATGAATGTATGTTAATTTTATTTACATGAAGCTCTTTAAACACAATTACATGATGAGTAAAATTGTGAAAACAATATTTTTAGGCATTGTTTTAATTGTTTAAAATTAATATGTTAATAATTCTCTGCATTTTTATAGATATTAAAAAATATAAAAGCAGTATATCTTTATTCTATCATGCCGAATATATATCTTTTTCAGAATTATATCTCAGACACTTTTGGAAGTTTAGAGGAAGTCTACATATTTTTCGATCATGAAGGCTATTAAGTATTACAAAGCTGTATATTTTCATAAATAATGTATCTGTGTATCTTTTATATACAGATATACTCCATAATGAATATCTATGCAGTTTATTTATTGATAGTGTTAATGAAATTATTCAAGATTGTTATAAGTCCATTTATCTAATAAAGGTTCAAGTCCTAAATGCTAATTACAATGACAAACCGATTATGTCTGAAGTGAGACTTTAATTACATTATTATTTTCAAATTTTATAAAATTTTTTAATGATATTATAAATATATAATTAATATTTTTTACTATATAAATATGTATAATGGTTGACATTAAAAAATGTGTGCATTACGAGCGTTACCATATTACTAATATGGTAGGTAATAAACATTATTCAAAATTGTTATATGATGTATTTAATTTACTTAAATGCCATCTCGTTCAATAGCAAAAAAGTTTCATTTCAATCACGTGTGTACCTTACGCACTCTCTTTTTTTGTTTTTCTTAGTTTTACAGCTACCAGAATTATTACATGTTCTATAAGCTGTATATTGGGCTCTGTTTGTTATTGAAAACAGTTCTTACAATTTGAGATATAGATTTTTCATAGTCAATACTAAACGTGGACAATTATTCATGGATAATAGTCGACAAAAAATGACTAAAACTTATTGTTAGTGAAAATCATGGATATTGGTTTATGGAAAATGTCTTTCTAATTTACAGCAAACAAATATATTCGCTTGAAAACATATTGCTGTTCATATTTCCTGGTGAAAACCGATGTTATTACTGTTTGACATCAGGCAGTCCGAGGCTGATATCAAACCTAACACTCTGGGATCGTTCAAGTATTACGTAAGCAGATTTATTACAATTGTACCCCTTGTCAGCAAAAGTAAGCAAAGCTCTTACCCCCTACACCCATGCTTTCGTAAACATTTTTCAATGTAAAAAAATAAAAATACTACCTATGACGTAATCATCATCTAGACTCCCCTGCCCCCCATGTCAACCCAAAATAAGCATATCAACAACCCCCCGCCCCCTATAGTGCTTACGTAATACTTGAACGGCCCCTATTCCATTAAAATTCCACAACATAAACGACTAATTCACAAAATCCAATATACCACAGTGTAATAATTTTTCTGCTGATAACAAAGTTCAAATTTATTGTTATAGAATTATTGCTACAATTTATCTTTTAAAATAGTTCCAGAAATATTTAAATCTATATTATTTTCTTGTTAACTTCCCGAAGGAGAAGTTTATGTTTTCATCAAAAAATCCGATTCGCTAATTTTATGTTTTCTCGACGTTTCAAGCCATTCTGAATCGAATAAGACCAAATTTGGAAAAAGTATGTGTGTGTGTGTGTGTGTGTATATGTGAACAGATTTTTTGCCGTAAATCGACGTTTTCTCGAAAACGGCTGGGCCGATTTCAAAAATTTAAAAGCCATTTGATGTATCTCGACGAGGACTATTGTTTTGTGGAACGATCGGCCGAGACGTTTCTTTATAAATAGCAGAAAAGTGAAAAAAATTTCGTGCACGTTTTAGCCCGCAATTCTGAATTATTATGAAAATTCCGATGATAATAATGAATTATTATTCCGATTATTATGAAAATTCAAAAACCTTTCCAAAGGTATTTATTGAGAATCGTGCTGATTAGTTTTTGGTAAAGATCGGCCGGGCCGTTTTCTTGTAATAAAGTGTTAACAAATTTTTTTCGACGATTTTTATTATTATTTTTTTGACGGTAGATACTATAGTCTTCTAGATCATACTAAAATATTACGGCTTTACGACAATTAATTTAACTTTGAAAATTCGTCAAAGTTTTCAAAAATTGGTATCGTTTTTTTGGCATTTGTGAAAATTAGACTTTTCATCGACGTTTTCTCAAAAACGCCTGAACCGATTTCAGAAATTTAAGTTTGTCAGTTTTGTGCGACGATCTGCCAAGCCGTTTCTTTGTAATTTGAAAAAAAGTGTTAAACTTTTCGTCCACATTTAAGCTCATCCTACCCAACCGATTTTAAAAAATCAAAAAAAGATATTAGTTGGGAATGGTTCTGATTAATTTTAGGTGAAAATCTACCGAGCCGTTTTCTTGTAATGAACTGTTGAAAAAAAAATTTAAGCCAATTTTCATGGAAATTTTTTTGGCGATATACATCATGGTTTTATAGAACTTACTGTAATATTACGGCCTTACGACAAGTAGTTTAATTTTAAAAATTCGTCAAACTTTGCTAAAATTATTATCGTTTTTTTTAAAGTAGGATTGATGAAGTATATTATTTACACATTTTTTTGATTAAGTCGATTATTTACACATATCGGGAAGTTCATGTAACTTGCCTAAAGGCTAAATACGAAACTAACTAGAAAAAAATCCTTAAAATTATCTTGACTTGATTTCAATAGCAACTTAGTTCGTGAAAAGCAAATTTTTTGATAGCTTCAACTAACAATTAGGCAGCTCCAAACTCTGATAATCTTATAAAATTTCCATCTCCTGATTGATTATAATTATGTATAATGATTTTATTATAATGCAATTTTTTTTCATTTTTATTACTATTACTCACTTTTTGGTCGTCCTATTCCCCCAGTGGGTCTGACAAATCGCACCGAATCTCTGCCCTCTGCCCGGTTCGGTGCTATAAGATTTGCAGATTGGCTCAGTTCCGAGTTGTCCAGAGGCTGCGACGGATCCGGCGTCGGAACGTACTGCGTCTGGTAGTGGTAGAGGGCAAACAGACCCACCAGGAGCACCGCCGCCACTGCGAACAAGGTCAGACGTTTGCGGCGAACTGACATGTCGCTCGAGATTCGATGGCTGGAAAAAGTAAAAATAAACAAAGGTGAAATATAGTTTATTGCGCCAATAATATAATGATATTGAGAAAGGGTTCAAGAAGAAGAATGCATTTCGTTTGTTCGAAAAAGTTTCCATCATTGCATTGAGTCAGTATCCTACATTAAGATGATCTGTAGACCACATTGCGTTTAAAGAATCAAAAATAAGTTTTCATGTTCTTTTTTTCATAATTATTACTTGTATACAAAATGATAACTTTTTGAAGTAAAACTTCTATAGGCGCGACTAGGTTGTAAATCCAAACAAATGCAACGGAAGTGCATTACGGCAGATAAAATAAGATAAGAGTCGAGTGCCAATGATTTGTCATTCGCTCTCGATGATATCATTTCTCTACGGGTCGATTGTGATTAGTCGTCGCGTATGTGAATAGAGATCTGTCGTTGTATGCGTACCGGCATCACCGTTGTATGCGTACCGATATCAACAAGGATATTGGCATAGATAAATAAACATCTTAAAGTTACATCGTAGTACAAATCTTGATTTAATGAAAAATGCCTGAATCAGAAGAATATTTTACCCTGTTCCTTAATATTTTACAATGTTTCTTAGACATTTTTTCTATATTATTCGTAGTTTCTATAAATCTTTTAAGTTATTAAAATGAAAAATATTTTTTAGGCAAGATATGTATTACAGCGGTTCAAAGAATGAGATTATATCGCAAAAATGTAAAAAAAATACAAGCAGTCGATGAATGTATGTTAATTTTAATTACATGAAGTTCTTCAAACACAATTACATGATGAGTGAAGTTGCGAAAACAATATTTGTTTAGGCGTTGTTTAACATAATCCACTGTGTGAACGAATATTATAGAATTTATTAATCAGCAATTACTTCATTTCTTTAAGAAGGTTTATTTCTAAATGCTAATTACAATGACAAACCGATCATGTCATATTTGAAGTATGACTTTAATTACATTATTGTTTTTAAATATTATACATATTTTTAATGCTATTATAAATATATAATTCATAATTTATCATTATATAAATGTGTATAATGGTTGACACTAATAATTACCATATTACTAATAAGCATAATTCAAAATTGTTATATGATGTATTTGTTTTTACTTAAATGCAATCTTGTGCAGTAGCAAATAAGTTTTACTTCAATCGTGTGTACACCTTACGCGCACTCTTTTTTGTTATTTTACTGTAAGTTGAACATTAGTAATAAATTACCACCAATTAGTTTTTGCACAGATAATTCAGTTCAGTCATAACGATAATTCGTTTTCAAAAGTGTGCATTGGGTACGGTTGTGACAAAATTATTGGTTACGGTCGTAACATGTATATCTTGTCCTTTTCGGGTGAAGATTGAAGATTTGAAAAAGATTAAACAGGTAAAGAAAAATCGAACTTAACTGAAAACAAAATACGGAAAAAAAGCAATATAAAAATAAAAGATTTCACAACAAGATTTATCGTTTGATAATTGATTCTGCCTGATATGTGAAAGCTCATATTCTGAAAGTAAGGGTGGTATAAAATGAATCAAGTGCTAAGGAACATGCCTTTACTAGTTCCACCATTGCATTTGTCGCCATTGTAGTGATTATTCAGAGTAGATTTGAATATATTGATACATAGTTATTGGAATATTTTGACTGATTCGTTAACCGATAATGATTAGTTACCATATTGATTGATCTTAGAAAAGACTGTTAGGATAACACTAGTGATGATATAACCTCCTTAATCATAAGATAAAAAGTGATCGTATAGTTCAGTTTATTTGTAGTTCACTTTGTTTAAAAAATCATATTTTGATTGTTATATTATATTCATAAGTTTTGTGATTGTTTAAATGATTATGTTATGCTGTGTTACATATTCTGTCAACTATTCTGGGGACGTGAACGGTTGTAGCACTCGTCTTTTTTTTGTTTTATTTGATTTTATCACTAATCCGTCATATTAAAGAACAGTATTGTAGTATTTCAGAGTAGAAGAAATTGTTCAAAGTTACTATACTCACCTAACTGGTAAATTAACAAGCTTAATGCTGATAAAAAAGTGGCACAACCGTGCCCATTCTGTCATAATATGAACAACTAATATATTTACTGCTATCTATTAGTTATTAGTAGTCTTTCACTTTAATTATTGCTACTACGTAAATTCTCTATCAATAATTTTCGTGAAAAATTTGTTACTTAATTACTTAATATACATAAATATATATATATATATATATATATATATATATATATATATATATTATATATACTAGTTACTGAGTTCGATGAATTGTAATTAAACAATATATAAACAAAAGGATATTTGAAGACATAATTTTAGCTATAAAAAGACATTATTCCGCATTGAAATTAGTAATCTTCAAGCGGAAGAGTAGACAATAGAAATTTTATTAAATATTTTATTACTGGCGGTTGTAAAAAGATGAAAAAATAAATCTAAGATGTAATCAAGGAACTTTGATTTCAAGAGAATATTATAGCAGTTAATGAATATATGAAGGCTATGCTGTGATTATAGAACTGCTTCAAATAAAATGATGATTCTCAATTCTCACAGTTAACACATTAATTATCCCTTTAACAAATATTGAAATATGTTCAATAAAATTGTATATTAAAAATTATACACTGCGATTTATAGAACAAATTTATTTCCAATAGCTCAATTCATTTTAATGCATTTAAAGGTTATACAATATTTTTAGTCATACCTGTAGGTGTGGATGTATAAATGAATGATTTTTGTTTATTCATGACTAAAACATTGATTTTTCAAATTTATCCAAAAAATTTCCAAATTTATTTTTCTAAATTTTTAACTTCCCGTAGGGTAAATTATTGTAATGGGCCGAAAATCGGAATTGAAAATTTTTACATTTCTCGACGTTTTGAAGGTTTCTGAACATTTTGGCATACCTCAGAAAAAATGGATGTGTGTGTGTGTGTTTTGTATGTCCGCGGTTTTTCGTTCACGTTTTCGGGCGCACGGATCAACCGATTTGAATGGTTTAAAAAACAATCGATTCCTATTGATAGGGAGATGTGCTGATTAGTTTTTGGCAAAGGCAGGTCCAGCCGTTAGGGAGATATGGAGCAAAGAGTGCAGAAAATAGAAATCGAATTTTTGAGAGAACGGATCAACCGATTTGAATGGTTTAAAAAACATTCGATTCCTATTGATAGGGAGATGTGCTGATTAGTTTTTAGCAAAGGCAGGTCCAGCCGTTAGGGAGATATGGAGCAAAGAGTGCAGAAAATAGAAATCGAATTTTTGAGAGAAAGGATCAACCGATTTGAATGGTTTAAAAAACATTCGATTCCTATTGATAGGGAGATGTGCTGATTAGTTTTTGGCAAAGGTAGGCCCAAAGGTTTCGGAGATACAGCTCTAAATGTTAAAAAAATGGCAGTTTTTGAGAGAACTAAGCGTCCGATTTAAATGATTCAAAGAACTTTCTGCTTCTATCAAGAAAATAATTGATTTTGGAAAAAAAAATTTTGTTTCTAATTTTTTTCTCAAAAAATTTTTTTGTAATTTTGGATTAAAAATTCAAAAAATCACCCAGGCTAAGCACAGTCTAAGCGCCACTCTGGTAGAAATGTTTACGCAAGTGCGTTTAGACTGTTTATGTACTGGAGCACTTTTCCAATTTTGTGAAAATTATTGAAAAATGTGAAAATGCCGCCAAGCTAAGCACAGTATAAGTGAAAATATCGCACAGAATTATTTGCAAATGCGTTTAGACTGTGACTATGCGGGAGCACTTTTTCAATTTTGTGTAAATTTGGCAACTATTTTTTTTTTTGAAATTTAATTCGAAATGAAATGACGATTGTTAATGTTCTGGAGATGATAAATTGATTTATTTATAATTAACTTCTCGTAGAGCAAGTTATAGTAATCCCAAAAAAATCGAATTTTTTTTTTTTATATATCTTTACGTTTTAAAACCTTCTGAACATTTTGGCATGCCTTAGAAAAAATGGATGTATGTGTGTGTGTATGTGCGTGTGTGTGTGCGTGTATGTGTGTGTGTTCGAATACAAATTTTTGTCGACGATTTCAGGTACACGGATGAAGCGATTTGACTAATTCAAAAAATATTCGATTTGTATTGATAAGAAGACGTGCTGATTAGTCTTTAGCGAAGGCAGGCCTAGCCGTTCCGAAGATACGGGGCAAAAAGTGCCAAAAACGGTAACTCAGTTTTTAAGAGAACGGAGCGTCCGATTTGTATAATTCAAAAAACATTTTACTTGTTTGAACAAGATGAACACTTATCAAATTTTCATGAAGATAGGTCTAGCGGTTTCGGAGATCGAGTAAAAAAAACTAAAAAAAAATACCATTTGGCGGTCAACAATAATCATTAGACATATGCATATCAAATTATCAGATATTTTATAGAGATTTTAACAAAAAGTATAAGTTTTGTTAACATTCCTATAGGTTCCGTACCAGTGTTTATCCGTTAGACAACGACGCGGCGCTTACGCGCTTCGATATTTAGTCTCTATGCATTTAAAGCAGTACGATTGCTTTGAAAAAAAGTTCAGAATTTCCAAAATATTTCAAAATAAATTTTTCAACAAAAAGTAAGTTTTTGTCAAAAATTTATAGTTTCTCAAAAATCTATTTTTTCAGAGTAATTTTTTTTCAAAAATGTTAATCTTTTTAAAAAAAAATAATTTTTGGTACGGGAAGTTCCAACAATTTGCCTTAAGGCACGATGCCATGCGCCCCACTAGTTTATTTTTCATATTATCAAGATATATGTGTTTAAAATTGAAATCTTTTAAAAAGTATAACAAGTTCAGAAAGAATTAAAATATAGCATGCGCGGTAAAGGTACAATATCACCTTGGATTTTTCTACCCAAAATAATTTCTTCAATAATGTTACCTATAATTTTTATAATTCTGTACCATATTTTAACTGCACTCCGTCACCACCCTCCGCA